GTGTTGGTGTTGGTGTTTGTGTTTGTGTTTGTGTTTGTGTTTGTGTGTGTGTTTTTGCATGTGCGTCTAAAGAACTGTGTGTTTTGACAGGATGACAGACTCACTAGAGAATCAATCCGGTTTGGGAAATGGCACCTTGTTGTTTTTTCGGGGCCCTTGTCGAGAGCGCAGTGCGAAAACTCGTCGCAACTCCTGTAAATGCCTAGCAAGAACAGCACGGGCTGTCTCGATGGAAGGTGATTTGCCTTTGTTCACTTGGAAAACGTTAATGGGTTTGTGTTGTTTCAGGGGACCCCTGAAACGGCTTCGGTTTTCCTGAAGTGTTTTCTTTCAGGCACAAGAAGCTCAAAAAATAAAGATGGGCTTAACATCTTATCACTAACGGGGCTCGAAGCCTTCAAACCGCTGGGAAATCATCCTGGACGGAGCAAACTAGCGCATTTGCTTCCAGCACACTGGAAGAGTCGAGCATGAGCAATAATCACGTGTTGCCATTCTATAAGCGCTTTTGCGCAATGCCCCAAGCCACTCCCACAGGAAACAAAATAATCCCACAACCCCTCGAACTTGCAACAAAAGCGGACTCTTGTGCCGCCCGCCATGGGCAAGCCGTGCCTGGAGGATGCCTTTGCCGAAAGTGCAGGTCTCCAGCTCACGACCCTCCTCAAAGCCAGCGTGCGGGGGATGGATGGACCTGTTAAAAAGTACCAATCCGAACTGCCGCGAAATGGGTCTTGTCCATCCGCAGAACCAAGCAGCCATTCCGTTGCTAGCGCCGGGGACGATTGCTACGAGACGCCCACTTCTGACTGGCTTTGCCTGCTTCAGTCGGCTGGTTACCCCGTTTGCTCTGAAGCGTCCACCTGCTCCAGGCCCTGGCACATGGCCCTTTTGATACCCTCACGGCTTGCTGCTTGCTAGGTTTCCTGCGCGGGCACCTGTCCCGGCAATGGACCGGTCCGCATCTGCTCAGGCGTGGCGCGGGCCGCCAACAAGCGTCGCGGTCCTGTACTTGGGGATCCTCCCTTAAGTCAGCTTTTGGAATTATAGTAGAATTTGCAGATCAATAATGTGTGAGTCATGCTACTGATGCTCTTTGTTTGGGGATGACTTGGGACCACCCAAAGTGAGAGTTAGATCTGGCCACGCATCTCCACGGAGCATAGTTGAGAATTAAAGCAAAAGGCAGATAAGCGTCGATTAATTCGGTCCGGTTGTCCAAACGAAAAATGCGAAAAAGCATGGGGGATGCAGCGCAGGCCCATTATCTACAACTAGTTAGTAGGATGAATGTGTGGCGCTGAAAATAACCAAGCTTTGCTACGCATGCTTGCAAAGGGAAATAAGGCGACAAATGAAGACATCTCCGGGGGGAATATGAGTGAGCAGAAAAGCATGGCCTGCGTTGAACCGTAGATAGATGGATGATCAAATAGTTGGATAGATGTAAGTTATGTTTGTGTTGGTTTTTTTGTCGATGGACAGATGGGTGAACAGATAGATGTTAGATTCAGGCAGATTCTAGATTGATGGAGAGCGGATTAGTAGCTAGACACACAGACCAATATGAGCAATCTAGATTGGACATGTGTAGAGGTAGACAGAGATAAGTGATCGGCAGACAGGCGAAGAGGTTGCTCGGCCTTGAGCCGCGCTGCGGCCGTTCCGTTCGCAAATCGCCCGCGCTCGGCGTTGCCAGGAGTTTGTGCACCGAACTGTTTTTGTAGGCAACGTAGAAAAGGCGCAAGCCGTGCCCATGAAGGTAGCGGGCGGCACTTGTGGCCCCGCATCACAATAACCTCCTCGGCAGAGGAGCCAGCCACAACTGTGCGAAGTAGAACAACAGGAAAGCAAAACTATACGAACCTGCAGCCAAGCAAGCGGATCGACCCACAAGCGAGAACTGCAGAGAAGGAGCAGGAAACTGCCGGGAAAGAACACACCAAGGAGTCCATCCGGCACTGCCAGCAGCCGACCACAGCATAGCAAGAGAATCAGCAAACGAGCCAACTACGACCTTGCAAGCTCAAGGTGGCCCACACCCCATCGCAACCGTGACGACCCGCCATGAAAGCAGGCAGCAAATCCAATACCGTCAGGAAAGGCGACCTCAGAACCCCAGCAATAGAAAAAACTTGGCCCTCCGCGCAAGGGCAGAGTGCGATGCGCGCAACTTCCGAAGAAAGGCCTCGCCTGCACGTGGGAGTAACGCAGACAAAGATCGCCGCGCACAAAAGGCAAAAGGGCTGCCACTGCCACCAGGTAGGTATTCAGAACGCCAAGGTCCATAACATTGCACACTGAAGCTGCACGATGAGGAACAAGAAGATGAAAGAGTGGCATACACCGTCTGCCCTTGGAAAAAACCAAGAATTGCACCCAGTATTGACAAGAATGTCACAACATCTAGCGCAATATGCAGCTATGCAAAAGCTGAAAAGGAGGGGCGAAAAAACAGGCTCCAGACCACTGTTGCGCCAACGAAGGCTGAGTGCAGGCACCGGCGCGGGCGGACGGAGGATACCAGCGGAACGGAGGATAAGTGAGGCGCCTGGCGCGCCCTGGCACCGATTGGACATTTGAGGCTGCGGGCGGGAAGGCGGGTACGTGCCTGAAACGTGGAAGACCCCTCTCTCCCGGGTCCTCAGGCGAAATGCACGTCCAAACCACGTCAGCACCGAAGCAGGGTGAAGGATTATTCCTGCTGACCAACCGCGTCAACCAGGAAACGCACGAACCAGTAGATGACATGGCGACAGCAATAGCAATGAAGCCTCCCCGGGGCGGCGTGCGCACTAAAACCACACACGCAACCCTGCGGAACCACCACCGTTTTGTGGACTCCCGACGCCTCTGGCAGAGAGGCCGAGCCCTGACTGGGTGGGCCGGAGATGCATGGCATTTGGGCCGAGACACCTAAGTATAAAGGACCTTGATCATGGTGAGCTCGTTGCTCCCCCGGTGAGCTCGCTAAAAAAAAACAGACTGATCATGGTTTCCCCGTTGCGGTTTTGTGGTCCAGTGTCCTTGTCTTCCTTGCATTCGGATCCACGGCAACCACGCAACATACCAAATTTCCACCAACACTCACCCACTATGAGTTCTGACTTGTGAAAAACACCATTCCTAAAAAAGGGGGCTCTCTGGTGGGTTCCATGATAGTGACAAGGAACGTGTACAACCTTCACCTTGGGCTGAGACCTTGGGGCGAGTCAATTGGTTCCCAAATTCCAACAAAGGTCCCTGTGCAAAGGGACCGCTTGGAAGGTACTGTTTGACTTGGCGTTGGGAATGAACCTTCCGAGATCCCAGGCAGCTGCTTTTCATTCGCTCCTTGGGCACTTGGTATTCCCCGACGACCTCACAGGACTTTAGCTCAGGCAACTCCTCCACAGGCACCTGGCCAAACAATGCTCCAAGCTGACCAACAAAAATCGATACAAGCTTAAAGGGAATCTATCACCTCGGGAAATATGTCGTGTTTGCTTGTTGGTAGTCTCTTTCAAAGTTGCTTCCAGTTGCGTTTTTGGACTTTAAATGCAAACAAGGGAAACTCAACATATTGTGATACAGCAAATGGAAGCAAGATTGAAATTTGGAGGAAACCAACCAAAACAACAATCGAGCCGATTGTAAGGAAGGAACTAGTTCGCTGGACAAGGGAAACCACAAGACAGCTTCTACCAATTGTTTACCCAAAGGTAGTTCGGTCATCTTGAGATTCGGGCAACCCTGCGCTCTCTGCGAAAACTTGCAAAGCAACGGGGGTGGGAAATCCGACGGAATTCTAACAATGCCCCTGGGAACAACGCTTTGTGTTGAACTTCAAGCTTCTTGATAACTATCTGCTCTTAAACCGCACTCCAACCTACAATTGTCACCTATCATCCAAAGGAACTTGCCTCCGAATTGCGTTTCCGAAAGGTGATGCCTGACTCACCCATGGGACATATCACATGCCCTTCCAAGAATCATGGAGAATTCAATTTGCAAGTAGCCAGTGCTTTCCCTTGCAAAGTATGCCCCTCTTCGCACTTGTCCTGTCCTGGACCCCAACCAAAACGAGCATGGGGGAACACCTGTCATGACTGATGCGCTTTGCGGATTTTGTGGATCAGCTGACAAGGGTCCTCATGCAGACAGGCAGGCAGGCAGGTAGGCAGGCAGGCAGGCCAGCACCAGCACCAGCACCACCCCACACACAAGCAGTCATGAACTCCAAGCCCCGCAAAGCAGTCAAGAGGAAGTTTTGAAGACTAGCAGAGCAATCGCAATCTAGAAGGGCCGCCTGTCGACTTCCCATATTGTTGAATAAACCAACGCTTTCCCTTGAATCGTTTTTGCAAGATCCCATGCTTGCCTGGTGCTTGCTTGCCCAGTGACCATAGTACAAATGAAACCAGCTCTTTTGCATGTGTCGCTCTATCTTGAAGGGAACCCCGCCATAATCAAGAGCACGCAATTGATCAAGCTGACAATTTTCTGGTGACATGGTCATTTACAAACGCAGGGGCACAAAACCACGGTTACTTCAATCCCGTAGTGTTCAAACCATCTAAAACCGGATTCGCACCACACCTGCTCCAGCACGTGGATGCGCTCCGCCAGCGCCGACACCGCCAGGACACAGCCCCAACGGGCGCACCACATAGGTCGACATGGAACGAGGAAAAAAATGTTTTTCGCAACCCACGGGGGCGGAGCCGCGGCTGCGAGAGCAAGCAACATCAAGTCAATTGACAAGTTACAACCAGCGGATCTCAACATCGCGCTCGCTCGAAAACATCACACTTGTAGGAGTGTACTGCTTTTTTTCCCCATGTTAACCAACCCCAGTTAATTGATTAGGGGGGAGTCCCTGCATGAGGTTTAGGGGGGAATCATCACTTCTGGAGGGGAACACCCCCCCGTGAAAAAGCTGGGGTTGAGTAATATGGCGTCAACATTACCCGGATGTCAGCAAGAGAGAAAAAGGAACCCACTGAGCAATGGCAATGTTTCGATGCTAGCAATCCAAGGCTCTGGAAACTCCTTCAATCTAGACGCTCAGAAGCTCACCAAGTCCACGAACAGCTCCACTTCCTTCTCCTCTTTGAGCTCCGGCAACTTCTGGCGGGCCTCCTGAACGGCCCGGGCAACCTGAAGCACCTGATCAACACACGAAACGTCCTTGCTAGGCCAGTTCTTCCGCAGGCCAGCTCCAGTGTTTCCAGCTTTTCCGGATGCGGAATTAGGTTCCACATGGAAACAAAGATCTCTCAGTTCGTGAGGCGGACAATTCATCCCGTTGTCCGAAAAGGTCGCGGTTTGCATTGTCACCTTCCATGATCTCCGCGCAGGCGCGGAGAAACCTCCGAGAAGTGACCCGAGAACGGAGTCGAAAACTCCGCGTGCGTGGGTCCTTGGATTCTGAATTCTTCCAGATGGGTTCATACAGAAACCTCTGATATCCTCTCAAGAACTGAAGCAAGAACTGCAGGACTGCCGCCTTCTTTGCCCGAACACAAATCCTCCTGTTCGGTCAAGGTCAGACCCGCACAAATATTGGTTTACCGTTCAACACATCTGCCGTGATCCCAAACATGGCGCCAGCCAGCTGCTGGAAGTTTAGCCCAAAGCCGGCGAAGCCGGCAAGAGCTTCCAATTGGTTGGCTGGCTACTCAGATACTTGGCTGGGTGAACAGTCGTGTTGGGTATTTTGGCAAATGATCGTTTGGCTAGTGCACCATAAGCCACAAAAGCGGACCAATTTCGCACCTAGTGCGTCGGCTAGCCAACTAGCTAGCTCGTTATTTTTTTCATGCCGCCATCTACTATTTAGGGGGCCAAATTGAGCGGGGAATCCTTTCTTCCAGAAGACCCGTGTTTATTCATCAGGGGCCAACATGAAATAGTTGTCTAGTGCACTAATTAGATACCTAGACAGCTATCAAAGATGACCCCCAGAGACTCGAGCCCCAGATTCGCCGGCTCCTTGGGGGTTTGCCTCCGGGTACATGGCTGACCCGCGAAATCTTTCACAAATTTCCGCTCGCAAGTGCTAAACTAAGAAACAAGGAAGTGTGAAAAGCAGGAGCCGACGAGTGCTTTCACCTGCGAAGCAGTGTGCGCAGCTGTGCCAATGGACGTCCGATTCCGCGCCAAGCTCGCTCCGCACATGGTGTTGTGTTGCGACCAGGTGGCTTGACAAATTTGCGCACAGCCCCATGCTTTTCTGCCTCTTCACATTCCGTCTCGCAATTTCCTGTGGTTTTTCTCGCTGCTTCACATAGTAGCTTGTTCCTGTTTAGGCGGTGCTCCATTCGCGATAGGGTATTTGACTTATTCAGGCTGCATGATACGCCGGTACACTGGTACATGGATTCATTGGGACGGGCCTGAAAGAGAAGTGAAACAGTGTTCAGCGTAGTCATACGCTCAGCCAAATAGCATCGTTGCCCTTCTGCAACTAGGTATACGTGTATACGGGCGCATAAACATGAATACTCTGAGATACGTAGGTTGTTTACCGACAGGTAGATTGATACACTGAACAATAGGTGCGGTCGATTGATAGAGATTTGTTGATGTCTACCAGACATCCCGTGCGGGCCATATGGGTTGTTGTTCCAATGGTAGACCCAAACAGGTGTTGGTGTTGCTTCTCTTTTTCCCAAACAAGGGCATCCTCAAAAAAAGACACCCCCCATTGCAAGGGGACAAGGAATCCAACCGCAACTCGCCAAGCCTTGTGTTTTGTGTCGGATCCTTTACTCGCAGGGCAAATGGGTGGCTCGTCTTTCGTTGAGGGATCCTTTTTCGGGTGTGACTTCTCATGGGGAAACCAAAGGAGAAACTCCCATGGGAACACCAAAGGGAAAACGTCCATTGTGAGGTTCCCTCCGCCCAGCAAAAGAAATCAACTAGAGGTCCATTCAACCCAGGTTCCATTGTGGGTTTCCCCGATGTTAAGCCAAAGGGAAAGCTGCCCACAAAAACCAAACAGCAACTAGAGGGAAAACCGACGAGAACACATCCATGGTTGGCGTCCCCGATTTTAACACCAAAAGATCAGAACAACTCGAGGTCCCGAACGCCGCGGATTCGCGAATGTCCTGGAAGAGGCGTGTGGCGAGGGCCTCGCAGCTGTCCGGTCTGAGCACCTGCGACAAATCGATGGATTCACCCGGGGGCGAGGCGGGGGGAGCATGGGTTTTTAGGTATAGGTGTATACATATGTATATATATATATATAGGTATATGCTTACATATATATATATATATACACGGGGCTTAGGTATAATACAAATATAATATATATATATATATAGGTATATGCTTACATATATATATATATATATACACGGGGCTTAGGTATAATACAAATATAATATATATATATATATGTATATATATATACATATATATATATATATATGTTTCTGCATGTACATATGATAATATATGTGGGTGTCCACCTGTTAAGAGTTCCAGCTGTGAGAATATGTATCCTTTGCGCTGCACATGTTGTCGTCGTGCCCTTAGGGGGGAGGGGTGGGGGGGGGGGGGGTGGATGACAACGTCCGCAGTCTCGGAGTCACACACACACACACGTGCTATATGCATATACACATGGGGCTTCTCTCAAAATAGTTGACTCTTACAATTGGTGTTCCTGCGTTTCCCGTTGCCACCACCCAGAAAGGTATCAGACACACACACACACACACCCTCATCTCCTTATCAGGATTCTCACTCAAAGAATTGTAGCTGCTGTTTCTTGTTGTTGTACAGCTTCCCAGAAGGTTTTTGGCAGTGCATCCGTGAGAGGGTACCATACGATTTGCTCAAGCCGTTGGCCGGTCACAACAAGCAAACTTGTCATGCAGGGATGGGGGTGGAGGGCTGGGGGTATTTCTTATTTGCTGGCTTGATCCCAGTGAACCACTCATGAACAGAAGATGGGACTGTCGGCCCTAGAGGTGTCGAACAGACGGCCGACTTTCAACTGGGCGCAATGTGCCAGCATTGTGCGTGGTGAAGCAGAGCTGAAAATGCGAATGCGCACGCATTGCCTGTGTGAAGTAAAGAAAGAGCACGCTGTTGTTCACAACGAAGTGGACGTTGGCCAAATCAATATATATATATATATATAGATATAATGTATTCTAATAAATATGTAGAGAGAGAAAGACACACACACACACATTTTTCTGGCGGGGGTGTCCAGGAATCATGATTCATGATTTCACATGAAACGTCTTCCTAGGAATTCTTCAATGTTGAAATTGAAAAGAACCGCTTTCGGTCATTTCAGAAGTTTGAAGAGGTCTTCGAACACACGAGCCGATCTGAAACAGACCGAAAGCTCTGTCCACAGAGAAAGCAAAGCAATTTTGCGTAGCAATACTAACTTCAGATCTTGCTAATTGCCCGTCAACTCTGTCAATCCAATGACGGCGGGCCCGAACGCGCAGTCTGAAACAAGCCTTCACCGGTGACTGGAACATATCCTCACTACGCTCACAAGAGGTCCAGTCGACACGCATGCGTCACGTGCCTGCATAGCGGCCAGCAGCAAAGGCAGCAGAAAGGAAACGCGGCTCAGCCAGAGCCAGTTATCGAAATCCCCGGAAGTTCCGGCGTTGGAGAAGCCAATAGCCGCCCCTGCAAGACCTCAGCCATACCCTCCCCCAACAAAGCACAGGCAACCCGAACGAGGGTCCCTAGCAGAAAATGGTAACCGGGGGTCCGGACTGAAGACTCCATGTTTGCGTTGGGAAGGGCAAAGGCCTTCCAATGGCTATGAATTTCGATAAGGAATCCTTTCATGGACATCATTTAGGTGGGGTTCATATCCACGAACAACTTTTTGGTGGTTCCCTAATCATGGCACACATTGAGAGAAGAGATCACACACACATCATCCCATCGCAGGATCTAGGACGTGCCAAGCGGGACTCCCCAAAGATGTGGAATCGCTGCAACCGGCTGAGCGGTGTCGCCAAGAAGCAAATCATGGAGATGCAGTGCAAATCGTTCATCTGTCGGGGCAAGTGAACATGCGAGCAAGGAACGTGGAGTCCGAACCCGAAAAAAAGGACCCTGGATTGTGTTTGAAGGGAAATGCAAAAAGAAACCGCCAACCATCTTTAGGGAACTCCAAAGGACAGACCTGTGTCAGTCTTTTCCACGTTGCGCTCTCAAGCCTGTCAACGGAGCAAACGAAACGCAACATCGTTGGCGAAGCAACTGAGAGTGATCTCCTTGGGCCACGGGACAAGTTTGGCATGCCAAAAGAACTCCTCTTACAACAAGCTGGTCAAAAGGACTGCCCTGGCAACCATGAAAAACCCAAAGCCACCCAGGAAAGGTTCGGAGGGACTCTAAGAGCTTAGATGTTCTCGGAAACAACCTGAGAACCTTTCTCTTTTCGAATCATGTCGTTCCACGTCGTCAACCCCACTCCCCGACTTCGGGGTTTCCCCGCATTTGCCTGGGGCTGGATGTAGGGCCGAACCATGGCAATGGTTGCGGCCATACCCAAAATCATGGCCAAGGCCAGGTTCAAGGCATCATCCGTGGACATCACCTGAGCGGACCAGCTCCTTCGTGCTAAATGGCCTGGGCACGGAAATGATCCTGTGCTCCACGAAGAGAAAAACACCGGCAAGCTACGTTATGAAAATTCGAGGTCTTTTGAAAAGGACGTCTTTTTTTGGGAAGGTTCAAAGGGAAAGGAGACTCAACCTTTTGGCCCAACTGACTCTTAGCAAGAACAGGGCCAGTTGCAACCAGTGACGTGGCAGAGAAACGGCCATTCTTTTCGGGGCCAGGATAATCCCAAGTCAAGAAGGAAACCAAACAACTCGGAGAAGCGTGACACCGTGACGCTGAACAATTGGGGATAAAACTTCAACGTAAACTGAACGGTTCTCAAAATGGGAGGGGTTCAACCCTTTTGGTTGTCCTTGAAACCAGCCGGAAAAAAGGATACGTGCCCTACACAAATACACGTGCACAAGTCAAAGCAAGCGGAACAGATTCAAAGCTAAGCATTTCCTCAGCCAGGTGGCAGCCAGAAGGCCAACGGCCAAAAGCTTCTGCACAAACTCCATCCAAACACAGCGGCACAATGCCTCGCGCAGCAAAAGCATCCCAATCGCCGGCTATTGCGCCACCCTCTCTTTTAAATTGCGATTGGTTAAACCAGGGATTGACACTGCGTCTGAGCGGCATATTTGAAGAACACCTCCTTGGCACCAGCCAAAAGACCTCGGTATTACAGATCGAGCTTGCGCGCATGCTTCTAGATTTAATGTGATCCTCTCTGGATCTTCTACCTTAGTTCCCTCTTCTGCGCCGATATCTTTCTCTCTCTCTCTCTCTCTATCGCTGTCTCTCTAGTTCTCTATCTGTCCTGGTGCATCTCTCTGTCTGTATTTGTCTATGCCTCTGTCTGTTTGTCTCACTCTGTCTCTTCTCACTCTCTCACGCTCCTTCTTATTCTTCTCTGCCTTTCGCGCACTTTCTCTCTCTCTCTCTCTCTCCCCCGCTTTCACTCTTGTTCAAGAAGCAATACACTCACTGCAGAAAGCAACATAAAGCGGCGAGAGCTGTAAACGCGCATCGCTCGCTCCAGTTGGCCAAGCGTCGGTCCTGTGTTGAGGCCCTCTCCATTTCACAACGCTCCACCAGCATCTCCATGATGGCCCGGGAGCGCAACGTCTGCGTGGTCGAGTCGTTGGTCTCAAGGAATCCGCTCACCTAACAGGCACACAGAAAACAGACTCCCAGACACACAAACACACACAAAGAGAAACAACACACACGCAGAAACACGCAACGCCAACCATCACACCACACACACACACACATACACGCGTAAACCCGTACACGTGTAACACATACACACATACACACATACACACACATACACGCATACACAAACAAACACTGACACACTGACACACAGACACATACACACACACAAACACAAACACACAAACACACAAACACACATACACACATACACACTTGCACACGTACACAACTACGCATATAGACACGCAGGCACGCAGACACGCAGACAAGCAGACACACGGAGACACACGGAGACACACGGAGACACACGGAGACACACAGAGACACACAGAGACACACAGAGACACACAGAGACACACAGAGACACACAGAGACACACAGAGACACACAGAGACACACAGAGACAAACAGAGACACACAGAGGCACACAGAGGCACACAGACACGCAGACACGCAAACACGCAGACACGCAGACACACACACACACACTCACACACACACACACCACACACACACACATACACACACCGCACACGGCACACGGCACACGGCACACGGCACACCGGACAGGACAGACGGGACAAATGCACAGGACAGGACAGAGCAAAAAAGTGTCGACAGTGGTTGCCTATCGAACTGAAAGAGTGTAAATTAAACTGCAGGCATCGAATTGTCAGCGACAGTAATTGTGAAGCAAGGGAGCCGTGAACCCTGCAATCCGGAGCTACTTGGGATAACAATTGAGCTTACCGTTTGGCTCGGAGGATCGTGCAACGCTCCACATAGGACCCGCCACGTAGCACACACCATACGCAACACAGCGCGTAGGGCACTTGCCCTCAGAAGCCGACACACTACAGCGGAGACCCAACACTCTACATAGAACCACCACACAGAGCGCTCCAAGACTCCGAGTCGAAAACTCCAGAAAAGAAAACAAGGGGAATCCCAACATGGTTGGTTTCCTCTTGTTTTTTTTGAAAACCAACCAAGACTGGGGTGCATTTAAGAAAGTCGTTTAATCACTGCTCATCGTGTTCATTGGGTGTTTTTTTTAATGCAGCTGCTGTCTGAAGTTTGGCAGCAAGTCTGGTCCTGTCTGCATGTGATGGTAATCATCAAGCCAATGCGCGTTCATTTGCGCCCTTGCTCTAAAGAAATCTGAGTCGACAACTGTTGCTCTTGTAGCTCATGCCGCTGTTCTGTCAGCACAGCCGACCGGATAAACATGGCATTGTAAGGAAACTGCGGAAACCTTTCATTTTGGGTGTATACTGCTCAGGCAGCCCTGCCGCGCTATGTGTAGACTCTGTGTCGCATGCCAGTGGGCTGAAGCAGAGGTGTCCCTCTCCAATTCTTGAGTTTTTGAACCACCATGCCCAGTCTGAATCTAGAAGTGAAGCCAAACATTTGGCCCTGCACTCCTTAGACCATGACCTGACAGCAAGGCACATCGAAGACTTTCCTGATTATTTGGCGCGGATTTTTCCGACGGCTTAAAACACACACTCAAGAAAGCAGACTGTTTTAATCATCACGTAACACGTACCATCTTGGCCTCAACGCATGGTGCATTTAAGATAATCACTGTTTTAAGGGCAGGCCCCCCAGGGGCCTGCCCTTAAAACAGTCGGTAGCGCTACCGACTGCTGTAAGCAACCCCCTGAGATCAACGGGGCGACTTGTTTGATTGTTTTAAGCAGTGTTGGTGGTAGTCCAAAGTGCATTTAACATAATCAGGGGGTTGCTTACAGCAGTCGGTAGCGCTACCGACTGTTTTAAGGGCAGGCCCCTGGGGGGCCTGCCCTTAAAACAGTGATTAGCTTAAATGCACCCTCCGAAAAAAAGTCGGAATTCGTACTAATTTCAATTTCAGGTCATTGTGAGTTTTGATGGCTTCCCCTAGCCAATACTTTCAATGAGACAAAAGATGTCCAAACAAACATAAGCGCCAGGGATGTTCATTTTGAAACAACCATGGGATTCTTCCAACTTACATGTTGCACACTGGTGGCAGGAGAGCTAGCTTTGTGAAACATGTTTGTATCACGGCAAGCCTACGTTGGAGTGACACGAGCACGCACATCCAACTTTACCATCTTGAGTTTGCGGTAGCTCGCGGTAGCGCAGGCAAATTGGAGCTTGACTGCGTGCATGTCTGCGCACAACGTTGTGTCATTGTTGGTCCAGCGCAGCCAAATGCAGGCAACTTGGAAGGTTAAGACACAACAAGTAGAACAGGGGATCCAGCCAAGACGATCAAGAAGCGCAATGAAGCCTGCACGTTGAGCATCTGAAAAGTGCAATTCGATGATCCTTTCCGAGCTTAAAGCTGTCATGATTATGAGCTCAATACGATCCAGCAAACACCACAGTGTGAATATTTGACATCTTTAAACGCACCTCAGAAGAGGGGGAGGGGGGTTACCCGTTTGGAAATCCGCATCGCGGCTCCACGCAACACCGACACCGAAGGAGCAAATGTCCGGTGGGTTTGGAGTGTCGTAAACAAAGACTGCTCGTCTTTCTTGAGGCCAACTTGTTTTGGATCTTTGCCAAAAGGTACGCCCCAAAGGAAACCGTTCTTGAGGGTACCGGCCTCGTTATTTTATGGTTGGATGTTTGCAAAAGAAAAGCCCAAAGGAAACCGTCCGCAGTTAGGGTGTGTACCAACTTCTGTGTTAGATGTTTGCCAAGGGAACCGCAACCGAAACCATCCCCATAAAATTGACACCGTCACCTATTTCAAGGCACACCCATATGCCTGGCCAAGTTGCATCCGCAGTTCTCATCTCCCTTGCTGGGCAAAAGCAATCGGAACGACTTGCTGGATCTCAGTAGGGAATGACCTTCCGGGTGTTGGGAATGGGGGATGGTTTATAGGGCCCATTGCCTCATTCGCCTCATTCTCTGCTAGGCACCAGCAAGACAAACAATCCATGTATTCGGTTTAAAAACGAAAGGTCCGGACCCAAATGCCGCTCCTTTAAAGGGGGTCAAGGAAAGGCACATGTTTTGGACACCGCTCGTCTTGCAAAACAGCGGAATTCAAGTGACGCCACCATCTCCGGCGCCGGAAACAAGCCTGCTGCCAAGGGTCGCCTTGCCATTAAGTAGCTGCAGTCGTACCTGCGCCGCTGCAGGAAGAAGAAACTAGACCACGGTTGGCCCGAAAGCAGAACATCGCAAGCGAGGTTGTCCGCACAGTCCGCGTCAAATCCAACTGCCTCCTGCAGCAAAAGCTCTACAGCCCGTGGCTCTGGAAGAAACCCTCCACGTCGGGCGGCAAAACCTTGTTAGTCTTCGCAGCCCAGTCACGCGCCGTTTTTTGGCACGACCTACATCCGGGGTCTACGTGTGCTACTTCTACGTAGTGCCGCATGCAAGTCAGACTTCGGGTTTCCGCTGCGTAGAGAAAGAGGTACTGCAGCTTCTTCTCCAAGCCGAGCTTCGAATCATTCTCGTGACGGCGCCAGTTCGCGCAGTGTGGCTGCCGATCACAAGGAGATCGCAATCCGTCTGTGCTGCGCGCAGTCGCAGACTGCCCTTGGCTTCCGCGTGGAGGTTGAGGAAACTGCGAGGAACCAGAGCTCGTGCCACCAGCTGGACCATGTTGGCCATCAGCACCTGTCCTCGCACCCACACCCATTTGCCAGAAAAAAGAACATGATTTGCCAGACAAAAAAACAAGTATTACAGTTCGCTCCTCATTCACGCACGCACGCACAGACCCGCAGGAAGCGCAAACACAAACGCACACACATACACACGCACACACACACACACACAAACCAACAGAAAAATGCAACCGCGCGCACGCATGCACGCACATATGCACGCAACAGCTGCTTGGGCACGTGCCCTGCGCGCAAGTTGCTCTGCACAAGTGCTTTGTGCAACTTGCTCTGTGCAAGTTGCGCTGCGCAAAGTGCTCTGTGCAAGTTGCTCTGCGCGAGTTACGCTGCGGAAGTTGCTCTGCAAGTTGCTCTGCGCAAGCTGCTCTGCGCAAGTTGCTCGGCGCAAGTTGCTCGGCGCAAGTTTTGCAGCTGGAGCTGCAGGAATGTACTCCGCGTACTACTCTTGTGATTTTGGAGCTGGAGGTGCGGGAATGTACTCCGCGTACTACTTTTGCACTTAAAATTTGCGACTTTCAGCTGGAACTGCGTGCAGCCAGAGCTGCCGCGGACCAGGCGGGGATCGCACCCGCGACCGCGCGACATCGGAGAGCAGCCGCGCAAACCACGAGACAATTGCCAAAGACAAATTCGCAGGCAAAAAGCACGCAAAAAAAAAAAGGAGACAACTCCCGAGGACTACGTGTGCTACTTCAACGTAGTGCCGCATGCAAGTCAGACTTCGGGCTTCCGCTGCGTAGAGAAAGAGGTACTGCAGCTTCTTCCCCAAGCCGAGCTTCGAATCATTCTCGTGACGGCGCCAGTTCGCGCAGTGTGGCTGCCGATCACAAGGAGATCGCAATCCGTCTGTGCTGCGCGCAGTCGCAGACTGCCCTTGGCTTCCGCGTGGAGGTTGAGGAAACTGCGAGGAACCAGAGCTCGTGCCACCAGCTGGACCATGTTGGCCATCAGCACCTGTCCTCGCACCCACACCCATTTGCCAGAAAAAAGAACATGATTTGCCAGACAAAAAAACAAGTATTACAGTTCGCTCCTCATTCACGCACGCACGCACAGACCCGCAGGAAGCGCAAACACAAACGCACACACACACACACGCACACACACACACAAACCAACAGAAAAATGCAACCGCGCGCACGCATGCACGCACATATGCACGCAACAGCTGCTTGGGCACGTGCCCTGCGCGCAAGTTGCCTTGCACAAGAGCTTTGTGCAACTTGCTCTGCGCAAGTTGCGCAAAGTGCTCCGTACAAGTTGCTCTGCGCGAGCAACGCTGCGGAAGTTGCTCTGCAAGTTGCTCTGCGCAAGCTGCTCTGCGCAAGCTGCTCTGCGCAAGTTGCTCGGCGCAAGTTGCTCGGCGCAAGTTTTGCAGCTGCAGCTGCAGGAATGTACTCCGCGTCCTACTCTTGTGATTTTGCAGCTGGAGGTGCGGGAATGTACTCCGCGTACGACTTTTGCACTGAAAATTTGCGACTTTCAGCTGGACCTGCGTGCAGCCAGAGCTGCCGCGGACCAGGCGGGGATCGCACCCGCGACCGCGCGACATCGGAGCAAGTTGCTCTGCGCAAGTTCCTCTGCGCAAGTTGCTCTGCGCAAGTTGCTCTGGGCAAGGCGCTCTGCGCAAACTGGTCGGTGCAAATTGGTCTGCGCAAGTTGCTCTGTGCAACTTGCTCTGCTGCGCAAGTTGCTTTAATATGCAAGTTGCATCTTGCGACGCCCGCCCGCGGACCAGGGAGGAATCGAACCCGCGACCCGCCGGTTCCGGGAGCAGGCGCGCGAACCACGAGACAACTCCCGAGGACCAGTTCGAACAACAAAAGTCGCAAAAAGCATCGAGCTCCACCCGCCGATTCCCGCAGAGGGTTGCGCGAGCACCGCAGAAATCGCAAAAAACCTCAAGTTTTTGCACCTCGACCACGCCGATCCCCGCAGAGGGTTGCGCGAGCACCGCAGAAATCGCAAAAAACCATGGGTTTTTGCACCTCGACCACGCCGATCCCCGCAGAGGGTCGCGCGAGCATGTTAGAAATCGCAAAAAACCATCGGTTCTTGCACCTCGACCACGCCGATCCCCGCAGAGGGTCGCGCGAGCAGCGCAGAAATCGCAAAAAAAACCATGGGTTTTTGCACCTCGACCACGCCGATCCCCGCAGAGGGTCGCGCGAGCACCGCAGAAATCGCAAAAAACCATGGGTTTTTGCACCTCGACCACGCCGATCCCCGCAGAGGGTCGCGCGAGCACTTTAGAAATCGCAAAAAACCATGGGTTTTTGCACCTCGACCACGCCGATCCCCGCAGAAGGTCGATTTTCGTGTAGTGTCGTCGGCACTACCCCGCCGCCCTAAGAAGAGACTTTAACTCCTCGCAAGCACTTGCAACTTGCACTTGACTCCTTGCACTTGCAACTTGCACTTGACTTGCTCTGCACTTGCACTTGCACTTGACTCCTTGCACTTGACTTGCACTTGACTCCTTGCAATGACTCCTTGCAATGACTCCTTGCAATGACTCCTTGCAATGACTCCTTGCAATGACTCCTTGCAATGACTCCTTGCAATGACTCCTTGCAATGACTCCTTGCAATGACTCCTTGCAATGACTCCTTGCAATGAGTGACTCCTGCAATGACTCCTTGCAATGACTCCTGCAATGACTCCTTGCAATGACTCCTTGCAATGACTCCTTGCAATGACTCCTTGCAATGACTCCTTGCAATGAATGACTCCTTGCAATGACTCCTTGCAATGACTCCTTGCAATGACTCCTTGCAATGACTCCTTGCAATGACTCCTTGCAATGACTCCTTGCAATGACTCCTTGCAATGACTCCTTGCAATGACTCCTTGCAATGACTCCTTGCAATGACTCCTTGCAATGACTCCTTGCAATGACTCCTTGCAATGACTCCTTGCAATGACTCCTTGCAATGACTCCTTGCAATGACTCCTTGCAATGACTCCTTGCAATGACTCCTTGCAATGACTCCTAGCAATGACTCCTTGCATTGACTTTCATGATGATGACTCCTTGCAATGACACCTTGTAATGACTCTCATGAGAACAACTCAAGTGAACCCAGCGGAAGAACCCTTCGCCATGCTTTCGGGAAACAAAACGAGCAGTGTGAAAAACAGCAGCAGTTAACAGGTTGGAAGGCATACTGGTGCATGAGGTACATCCATCTGGACAAATGGACCCTCAAGCGCGGAACCAAGGATCAAAAACATGGGTGATGTGCAAGGTCGCGATGGAACATTTGCACAGATTGTCCCAATGTGCCGGAGTCTTGGTTGAAGTGGTGGGAACAGGATTGAGTTTTTCCGGGATTTGATCCCCGGTAAAGTATCATAGGTCACCGGTGATTTCTCAATGGTGGTCCATTGCGCCATGTTCGATTACAGAAACATGGCCCTTCGACAACCTTGCTGGTAAGGGGAGACGAAGGAAAGACGCGCAAGGACAAACCGGGGAGATGGGTATGAGTTTCAATTGGGAGTCTTGGGGGGAACATTGTTCACACAAACTTTTCTGCCCACCATCCATTTTGAAGGCTGCTCCCACAGGACAAAAGAACAACAGGGCTATTGAGTCTGGCAATGGAAAGGAAACACGAGGACCCCAGTTCATCTTCTCTTTTGTTCAGGATTCCTCAACAAAGAAACTGCATCCTCATCATCTTCAGGGCAAAACTTGCCCTTTGTTCAGCAACCCACCAAAACAAAACGACCTCAATCCCTTACAGGGAGTAGAAACGCTCATTTTCTTAAGCCCTGTGGAACAAATATTAGCGATAGATTCCCTGTAAAACTGAAATATTCGTTTCAGCAAATGAAAGGAAACCAAGCCAATGAAGCCAACCCAGCCAGCCAAGCTGGTTTTCACTCAGCGCCTCTCCATGGAGCGCCACTGCCATGTGAGCCACCGCAGCAGCGAGTAGGTGCTCGACATCCTGTCGAATCGAGACAGGGGTGGCCCCCGACAAAAACAACACGGTGGACAAATTTGATGAAAGCCCGTCCTGTCTAGGACACCGACCAAAAAACACCGTGGATCATGTTAACGTACAAAGTCGATGACTCTTTTTTTTCAGTCGAAAGGATTCCCTTTCGCTCACAATTTCAACTTGACCTCGAGGCTTGGATACATGACAAGGGGTCAATAAGGGGGTACCACCTCCCTGAAGTGGTTTCCTGGCGAAGGTGTTCCCTGCAAATGCTGCAGATGAAGATGGACGCCCGCGACAATCCAAGAACCTCATTTCGAGCCTATTTTTGGTGGACCGCCCTTCTCGAGCTCCATGTTGAATTGCAGGGACGTAGGATTTGGACTTTAACAACGGGTCGGTTTCCTTTGGGCATCCCTCTGAACCAAACCAAACCAAAAGAGAGCCGCAAGGAAACACGTTTTGCGTCACCCTTAAACACCACCCCCAAAGGTGCTCATTTTGAAATGGCAGCCAGCGTGATATAGTGTGATGTTTACCCACAAAGGCAAGTCCAAGGACCGCTGCCTACCTCCTAAAGACACACTCCCAAGTGTGTGTGTGTGTGTGTGTCAAGGCTTGCTGGTTCGCAGCAAAGATTGCTTCTGAAAAAGCTGCAAGGTTTGAGAGAGTGTGTTAACTAGAGTAGTAACTAGAGGGGTGTGTCTTTTGGAGGGTACCCTGGTTTGAAACCTAAAAAAAGAGGAAACAAAACAAGAGCAAACAAAAATAAAACAAATCAAAGGGCCACACAATCCTAGTCTCCCTGTTGGAGACAGATATGACACGTCGCAACTGGATGCAGTGGGGTCACAAACAGAGTGGATGACTGTGAAGACACCTACCAACAAGAAACCTGAGCCTTTGCCTGGAAACACCAACGTTTGTGTCAGGTACCCCTTTCCAAGCTTAGGGACCAAAACGAAGGCTATCATTTTTGGGAGTTGTCCTGTCCTCGCACCCTACGAATCCTGCGAAACCGAGGCGATCAATTTGTCGCGCCTGCGGGTGCTCGCCTTCGATTTCTCGGAGGGGCTGCAGCCTGACGAGCCACCCTGCCTTCGACTTCTCGGCCACGGCGGTCACAGTCTTGCTCGGCTTCCTCGATTCGGCTTCCTCGATTTCCTTCCCCAACACGTTCCCAGCTTTGGCCCAGGTTTGTCTCCACCCTGGGGTGTGCTTTGGGGGGTGGTGTGATTGGGGATGGTATGCTTGGGGGATGGCGTGCTTGGGGGAATGGCGTGCTTGGAAGGTGGCGCGTTTGGAATGAAACCAAATTCGCCATAATGGGAAACCAACCAAAATGCGCCAACCACTTTAAGGGAAACCACAAGGAATCTGCAAAGCAGGGGGAATCCTGCCTGCAAGACTCCTTCTCAAGATGAAAATGAGCCACCCGCGGGCCTTCAATTTAGGTTGAGTGGACTACCCGGATTGCAAGGTCTTTGACCGAGACTCAAAACCACATGCTGGCGGACAAAGAGGTACAGGAGGGCAGCTGGTATAATGACGACGTAGAACAAGGCCGTGCCACAACCCGTGGCGTGCACCTCAGTGTTCGTTCCAATTGTGACCACGGCACTCTCTGTGAACCCAGTCACAAAGGCTGCGCAGAGTGAGACCCCACACAATAGGTGTTATCCTTTTGGTTGCCCTTTAAACCAACCCCAAATACCCAAGAAACACAACTAAATGGCATCCTCTTGAACACGAGGCCGGTCAAACGCATCCAAAAAAGTTGCAAGGCACCCATCGTGCCATACCCGAGTTGTCCGAACACGAAATGGACGGCAGCTTCTGCAGAAACGCGTAGTCGCCCAAAGGATCACCACCTGCGTTTCGAAACTTACGCAGGCGCACCAAGCGGTGGCTCGCTCTTGGAACAACCAATACCTGCTACTCGAAGAACCTACAAAAAAGTGAGGTGGGCAGCAAAAACCAAGTTTTGCACCTTTTTCGGTTGAAGAACCTGGTTTTGCTTCCTGAAACCCGTATAAAATCAGAACAGCATTGATATCCGCCTATCTGTCTGTCTATCTTTCTTTCCTCTATCTATGTCTGTCTATCTATGCGTCTATCTTCGTATCTAACCTGTCTTACCTATCTACCTACCTACCTACCTACCTGTCCCCTGTCTATCTAGCTGTCCAGCTCCACCTGTTTGTCTATCCACCTACTGAGATTCATCTGTTTTCATTTTGTGGCTATCTATCGAATCTAATCTGCCAATATCTATCTATCTTTCTAGCCATCTGCCTCTTTGAGATCTATCTATCTATCTATCCATCTATCCATCTATCCATCTATCTATCTACCTACCTAGCTATCTGTCTGTCTATCTATCTATCTATCTATCTATCTATCTATCTATCTATCTATCTATCTATATATCTATATGATCGATCTATCTATCTATCTATCTATCCATCCATTCATCCATCTATCTATCCATCAATCTATCTATCTATCTATCTATCTATCTGACTGTCTATACGTATACATTTATATGTCTATCTGTTTGCCTGTCCGTCTATCTGTTTAAGTATCTTCGGAAAGCGCTGCGGGGGCTTGGCGTGGCCTGCGTCTACTCTTTGGCAGCGGAAGAGGTCGCTAGATTGGCGAGCACCACCAATGTAGAACCTGCGGAGGTTGGACCAAGCTGCAAGCTGTTCGCCGCTTGGAAACAAAGACTCACGCTTGAAAGAACAAAGGGTAGGAAACTACGTGGCTTAACAAATACAAGGTGGTTAAATTCAATGGATGCACCTTCCTGACTGGCTAGCAGAGCGAACTTGTTGGCGTAGTGTAAACAATGATGAAGACGCATGGCAACAAAACAAAGATCGGAACCTGAAGTGTCTTTTCAGCAAGTTACACACTTGTTATGTGTGTCATTTTTTTGAGGGTACCGTTTTGGGTATTGAGGGCACCAGGAGCAAGCCACTTCCTTGCGACAGGCCCATGAGGCAATGCAGCTGAGGAACATAGTTAGCACCTTGAAGGCACTGCTGGCACCTCAAAGTCGAAAGGCGCCTCCTTATCTATCTGGATCTGTCTTCTTTTGATTCTTGGTGTCCATTTGTTGGTTTAAGGGAAGCCAACAGGACAACGCAATAACAATAGTTGCCTTTTTTCAAGGGGGGCTAAAAAAGACACACCCATCTGGGCTGTTTGAAATGGAGTGCTGGCCAATCTGATTTTCAAGAATCCTTCCTCACTATTCCAAACGGGGCGGAATCCTCTCGTTCCGGTAAAGCCCAGCCTATGCATCTTATCCAGGCACTCACCAAGCAAAGCATAAAGGATTAAGGGTTGAATCCATCGGGCAGCTTGCTTTTTGCCAGCCTTTGGCGGCTTGGGCTGGCAACAGTCAGGTTGGCTGAGCCCTTCCCAGCCGCCAAACAGGCGGAAGAAAGAAGTTGATGGGGTTCACCATTCGTTGCAAGCGGACTTCGTAGCATTCGTTGCAAGTCACCGAGGGATGGCTTCAGGAGCTCCAGCGTCGAACACGCCAGCAGCAACACCACAGGCGCCACCGGCGAAGCCAGCGCTGATGCCAGGCGCACGCTGGGGCCGTGCCATTGGCACTCCGCACGGACCGCATCCTGAGGAGCGGGCGGAAAGCCAAAGCTTTTCAGGACTTGTGGATGGTTTTTGGGTGTGAGGGGTAAAGTACATAGAAGACCTGTTGAGCCTGACCCAAGGCAAAAACACCGTACAAGTCTTCAGCGTTTTCATCATTGGTTTGGAGGTGAATGGTCTGGAGGGATTCCGGGGGTGGTTCCTCATGTACGGTTCAAATCCAAATCCAAAGCACCAATCCACAGCACCAATTAAGTAAGGGTAACCTGCAAAATGTTCCGTCGCAAAAACAAACACGCACACTGCGACTCATCAGCGCAAAACCACTGTTTATCTTAATTCCCTTTGACAAACTGCAAAACGCTGTTGCAGTTCCCTTTCGGGCCGCAATTGGAGCTTTTTGCTCTTAATTACCCCTACATGTTTTTTAAAAAAAAAAATCCTTCTTTCTATGTGTCAACGGACCCCCAATAGTACGACCTTATGAAGGG